ATCCAATATGAATCTCGAGGGAGTCTCGAGCGAGAGCGCGCTTCCCAAGTTAATCGTGGGGAGGTCCAAGGCGAGAGCGTGATTCGAGTGTCGCAGGCGCGGCGTCTCTTTACATGGGAGGAAGTACCACACAAGAGCGCGATTCTTGGATTAATTGGAGGAAGTCCCGCGCGAGAGCGCGATTTTGAATTAATTGTGCGGAGGTATCAGGCGGGAGCCGCTGTTGTGGCAAACCGTGAGGCACTGACACAATCTCAGGCGCAAGAGGTCTCCTTGTAACAAACAAGGTGCGACCCTTGGGAGGAGCACTTTGATTGAAAAAGATAATGAGCACCGGGTAGGAGGCACCAACAATAATTATTTTCTACAAGTGAGAATTCAGTCGTCACTTTGCCCCCGTGCGATCTTGGAGGAACTACATGAAAACGGGGCAATACTCCATCACCCAGATCTCCCGCTCAAGGAGGTCGAGCCACCTCTCCCGCGGCACGGTACCGTTTTCAGCCTTCACGACACAAAAGATCAATAAACTTGAGGGAGCGGTGAGGATTCGAAACACGAAGGGTTCGAGCCCCATGGGAAGGGCAATTTGTATGAACACACGTAAAACAGAAAGGATTCGAGCCCCAGGAGACGGGCTATGGCTAGGAACATACGTAAGACACTGAGGATTCGAGCCCCAGTCGAGGAGCGATACATAAGAGCAGATGTAAACGCACAGATGAGTCGAGCCCCCGTAGAATGGCAATCGAAAGGAACATACGTAAAGCACAAAAAATCGAGCTCCAGAAGAGGCGCGATGAATCTTATGGGGGCGAAGGGAGCCGAAAAGCATTCCACGACGACATATACCTATGCAGAAAAATATGTCCTGGGTTATCCTGGGGCTTCCTGGGGCCTCATGGGAGAGGAGGGGCCGAAAAGCGGCTCCCGAACACGTAACCCGACACACGTACACACACACACACACAAGTGTTTCTTGGGGCTTCCTGGGAGCGGCGGGGCCGAAAAGCCTTCCCCGAAAACAGAACCCAATGCAGAGAAGTGTCTCCTGGGGCTCCCTGGGGGCGGGAAGGCCGAAAAGTGTTCCCGAACGCGTATCCCTGGAGCGTCCTGGAGTTTCCCGGGGCCTCCGCAAGTAGCAGCAAGACTGGTCTGACGGATTCCCCTGTGCTGCATCGCGAGGAAGTCTCAAGCGAAACGGCCGTTCCGGCATCCGCGAGTGGCAACAAGAATGGTCGGAAGGACCCCCATGGTGGTGTTGAATTGCGAAGGCCTCAGGCGACAAGGCCGTTCCGGCATCCGCGAGGAGCAGCAGCTTGGTCCTGAAGGTCCCCCTTCTTTTATGGTGCCAAATTGCAAGGAAGTCTAGGGCGAAACGGCCGCTCTGGCATCTGCAGGTGGCGGCAAGACTTGTCTGGAAGGTCCCTTCTGTGGCGCGAAATTGCCTCAGGCGAGAGCGCCATTCCCGAGGTTCTGGCCCTCCCTGGCTGGGGTCTCTCGGAGTAATTTGCGAGAAACTATAGCACGGGAGCGTCGTTGTTTGGGGGGAGGTTTAAGTCGGGCCTGTCCCTCTACAGGGGAATATTCAAAAGTATGTTTAAACAAATGGTCTGGGAACTAGTTTTGTTATTTTTTGACCATTTTGGAATATTTTTGACCATTTTGATTATTTTTGGTGTATTTGTTATTTTTCGTCGAAGATCCCCCTGTAGGGGGACGCGCCCGACTTAAGGGGAGGTCGATTTGGGCGCACCCCCGAAACGCTTGAGCTTGAGCCTCGAACGCAAAGGGAATGCAACCGGCGCTGAGGCGCGAGCGCCAAAGCGGGTATAGGATAGGGGATCGAACAGCAACATGTGCTTCGTAGCTTACACTCAACAGTCGCAACAACAAACAATCGGGGGCGGCAAAGAGGGGGGTGATGACTAGGGGCGTGTGGATATCATGGCGGCGGTCATGATATCTCTCCAGATTTCATGGCGCCTCTTCTTGTTTCGATACGTCCCTGCCCTCCCCCTGTGCCGCGCACTTGCCGCCGGCCATGATTTGCACACCCCCTCGTGGACGCCCCCCTCTTGGCCGCCCCCGAAATAAGAAACAACACAAACAAGCACACACACACACAACAAAAAAAAAAAATGACTACGGAGGATGCCCAGGTCGGTCCCTCCTCGATCGATCGATCGGGGCCCTTCGAGGCTCGGTTCTGCGCGCAAGCGAGATTCCTGGAGGTCCCAGGGCCCCACTTGAGGCCTGGAGGTCCGAGGGTCTCGGTTCGAGGCAGGGCTTGACCAAAACTTTGTTTTGGCGATTTCGTGGGCCGTGTTCGTTTCGATTTCGTTTTGAAGCAGACTCGGGACGAAGACAAGACAAGGGCAAACGAAACAAAACGAGCACGCAACACATCGTTAAGGCTGAGCTTTGGTTCGAGGCTCTCGGTTCGAGGTCTCCAGAGGCGTTCGCTGGTTCCCAAAAGTCTTCGGATGCGTTCCAGCAGCTGCGCCTCGCCGACCGCGTTCCGAAGGTGCCCGAATCGTCCCGAGCGGCAGCCAGGGGCTCGAAAGCCGAGCGGCCCTTCGCTGCAGTGACCTGTGGTGCGCGGCTTTCGGGCGCTGCGAAAGGGAAGGGCGATGAATGGGGTGGGAGGGAGGGTTTCTCCGAAGGGCTTAGGCGACCCGTCCTCCTCCTCCTCCTCCTCCTCCTCCTCCACCACCTCCTCCCCCTCCTCCTAATCCCCCTCCCCGTCCTCCAATTCCCACACGTCCTCCTCCTCCTCCTCCTCCTCCTCCTCCTCCTCCTACTCCTCCTCCTCCTCCTCCTCCTTCTCCTCCTCCTCCCCCTCCTCCTCGGGTCGCCTACATCCCCGGGGGGAACCGTGCGGGGGGGAAGAACAGAGAAAAGTGCACTTCTCGTGCGCTCCAGGGGCCCTGGAAAAGGGGGCCCCTGGGGCCGAAGAGGGGCACGAAAGGCACACGTTTCGTCTTCGTCTTCGGAGGAGGAGGAGGAGGAGGAGGAGGGGGAGGAGGAGGATCAGGGGGAGGGGGAAGGGGAGGAGGAGGGGGAGTGTGAGGAGGAGGAGAATGAGGAGGAGGAGAAGGCGGAGGAGGAGGAGGAGGCAAAGGAGGAAGAACAGGAGGCGGAGAAGGAGGAGCCCCCCCCCCCCCCACTGATCGTCCCCCACTCACGAGGCGCCCAGTGCTCTCGGGGGAAGAGCACGGCGGGGCCAGCCCCGAAGCAGGCACCGCGGCTGCCGCCGCATCGCACGCAGCGGTCGACAGGCCGCGCGCCAGGGTCTGCTCTTAAGTCGGGCCTGTCCCACTACAGGAGGAAAAGTCAAATTGAGTCTCTCTCTCTCTCTCTCTCTCTCTCACACGCACACACACACACACACGCGCATAGTAGGGGGACAACTTTTCCACGATGTTTGACTAAGTTTGAATACTTCTGGATTGGATTACTTGTTCCTGCCTCAAAATCCGCCCGGAGGACCTGCCCGACCCTAGACTGCTTTTGCTGCTTGCGGTGGGCTCGCGCCGCGCCGACGCGTCAGAGCAAACCCGCCAGGGGGCGTGCAAGGCGGAACGCCGCCAGTGGCACAGAGTCGCCCATCTATCCGAGTGGGCGGTCTGGCGATAGAAACATCGCCGATCGTTCAAGGAGGAGGAGGAGGAGGAGGAGGAGGAGGAGGAGGAGGGGAATCGCCCATCTATCCGAGTAGGCGATCTGGCGATAGAAACATCGCCGATCGTTCGAGGTTGCACGACCGACGCGGTGTCAGAGACCGTCGCCGCGGCTGCCATCACACGAACTTGCCGCAGGGCCAGTCTTATGCCGTGGAGGAAAAGCGGGTCCCGACGGGAACGGGTCCCAGGCCCCGGGGCTTCTCCCCTGGGACCAGATCTTCATCCGCGGCGAAAAACTCGAGGACTCGTTCCCGTCAGGACCCGTTTCCTTCATGCTACCCCAAAAGTTTGCGGCCAGGACGCGGGCTTCAGGCGGCCGCTCGGGGCGATTCGGGGTCTCCGCGGAGCGCCCTCGACGAGGCGCAGCTGATTGAAGACCACCCCGCGCCCCGAAAATGTCCAGAAACTTCCCATACCTCCGAAAACAATGTGTGGATCACGACGAACTCTTCTGCCCTGGCAGCCGGACCTCCGCTCTCCCTCAAAATGCGTCGTCACGCACAAGATGCTACATCGTAACCAAGCTCGACCAGAGCCTTGGACCTCACCTTGATGGTGGATTGTTCGAGCCGGATCGATCCGCGGGCGTCCCCTAGGAGGGAAGTTTTGGAGGCTTCGCGCGGCGCGCAATACTTATATCATCTAGTTTGCACGTCCGCCCCGTCGGATATGGGACGACGTTCGCGCAAAGTTGTTCCGACGTAGGCCCGGTGCAAGTCCTGCGGGAATCCGACGCCAACCCGACGCAATCCGACGTGAACCCGGCGTAGATCCGCCGCGCAGCCGACGTAGCTTGGGTCTCGGGTTGCCGTGCGAGGCCACCAGGGTTTTCAAGGGCGCCCTCGAGGGCGCGAAGTTATTGAATAACTTCGCGCCCTCGAGGGCTTTCTTGAAGAATAATAATAATAATCATCATAATAATGATAATAATAGTAATATTTAGATTAATAATATTAATAATCATCATCAGCATCATCATCATCATCATCATCATCATCATCATCATCATCATCAGCATCATCATCATCATCATCATCATCACCATCATCATCATGATTATTCTCATTATTTATATCTTTATTATTATTAATAATCATTATTATTCGCGCTTCGAGGTTCGGCTCCGATTCCTCTTCATCCGCCTCTTCTCCCCTGGGAGGCGGCGCGAGAGCGCGACGCGAAGTTGGGAGCCCCTGAGTCTCCTCACGAGCTCTTGGGCCCGAAGCAAAGCAAGACCGCCCGTTGCGAGAGCAGCGCGGCGCGCCCTGCATCTCGGGATCCCCAGCCCTGCGCGCGCGCGGGTGCCGCCACGAGGCTGCACGCCGGGCGACTGGGCGGCCGAGGACGACGAGGACGCGGAGGGCCAGGAGCCGCGCGCGCCCTGGTCTTGGAGGGGCTGTGGTCCAGGCCTCCTAGATTTTGGGTGGCCTAAAAAGGGGGTCCAGCTGAAAGGGGGTGGTGCAACAGGTTTGGGGCAAGCTGTAATGCAAATGCACTGCGCCGGAAAATCGTATCGCACTGTCTGGCAACAAAAGTACTGCACGCGAAAATCCAGCAATACATTTGCGCCCTGGAGTGTATTGCACGCCCCAAATGTATTGCAACCACACAAATCTATTGCACCAAATCTATTGCACCACTCCCTTGTCGCTGGACCCCCTTTGGGTCAACCCGATAGATGGGGTCGGAGTCGATGGGGTCCGAGGATCGCGCCGCGTCGCCGATGCATCGGCGATGCGGCTCGATGCGGAGCCCGATGTTTCTCAACGCGGACGTCGCCAATGATCGCCGACGTCGCCAGTGCATGGCCGATGCATCGGCCATGCATCGCCGATGTATCGGCGATGCGGCGAGATCCTCCGATCCCATCTACTCGGACCCCATCTAGGAGGCCTCTATGTAGGGGGGGGTCGGTCGGAGTTTCTCGTCAGGTTTGGGCTGACCCAGGAGACCCTGGATGCATGGGCGACCCGTGCGGGGCGCCTCAAAGCAGCCGTTTCGCGGTAAGCGGAATCGGCGGAAGGCGTCTCGGAGTCGGATTTCGGGCAGCATTTTTGTTTAAGATTCCCGGTTCGGTGTTGAGTTTGTTGCGTTTCAGGGCTTGACGGCATCGACATGCGGCCCGCTACCGCGAAGCGAAGCGCAGGTCTTGGAGGGCCTGCTCGCCCGTCAGGGGCAGCGCTCGGGAGGGATACGGTCAGGAACTCTGGCTCAGCGCGTCGCGCCGCCGGCCCACTGCGCTTCGGCGCGGCACGCTGTCCACGTCCGGGGGGGAGGAGGAGGAGGAGGAGGAGGAGGAGGAGGAGGAGGAGGAGGAGGAGGAGGAGGAGGAGGAGGAGGAGGAGGAGGAGAGGAGGAGGAGGAGGAGGAGGAGGAGGAGGAGGAGGAGGAGGAGGAGGAGGAGGAGGAGGAGGAGGAGGAGGAGGAGGGAGGAGGAGGAGGAGGAGGAGGAGGAGGAGGAGGAGGAGGAGGAGGAGGAAGGAGGAGGGAGGAGGAGGAGGAGGAGGAGGAGGAGGAGGAGGAGGAGGAGGAGTGAGGAGGAGGAGGGAGGAGGAGGAAGGAGGAGGAGGAGGAGGAGGAGGAGGAGGCGGAGGAGGAGGAGGAGGAGGAGGAGGAGGAGGAGGAGGAGGAGGACATTCCCAAGAGTCAGCGTCTGAGCCTCTCCCAGCCTCCCGCCCCGCGGAGCAGAGCGACACGCCAGCCGCCTGCAAGGCACAGCGTGCCGCTGGGGCCAGCGCCGCGGCGCGCTGCGCCAAGAGTTCCCGGCCCCGCAGGCTCTAGAGCAGCGTCCCGGGGGGGGGGGGGGGGAAAGGCTCGAGACTCGATGCTCGAGGTTTTCGGGCGTTCCCGTTGGCTCCCGGTGGCTTCCCTGCCTCGGGGTGCTCTCCAGCCGTCCAGGGGGGACAGGCTCGAGGCTCGATGCTCGAGGTTTTCGGGCGTCTCCGTTGGCTCCCAGTGGCGTCCCTGCCTCGGGGTGCTCTCCAGCCGTCCAGGGGGGAAAGGCTCGAGGCTCGATGCTCGAGGTTTTCGGGCGTCTCCGTTGGCTCCCGGTGGCTCTCCAGCAGCTGCCTCGGGGTGCTCTCCAGCAGCTGCGCCTCGGCGGGAGGCGTCCGGGGGCTGCCCCGAGCGGCCGCCAGAGGCCCGAGCTGCGGCCCGAAACGCAGACGGCAAGCATCGCTGGGGGGTGGGGGTGCGGGCTCAGGGGGGGAGGCATCGACAGGAGGAGGAGGAGGAGGAGGAGGAGGAGGAGGAGGAGGAGGAGGAGGAGGAGGAGGAGGAGGAGGGAGGAGGAGGAGGAGGAGGGAGGAGGGAGGAGGAGGAGGGAGGAGGAGGAGGAGGAGGAAGAGGAGGGAGGAGGAGGAGGAGGAGAAAGAGGAGGAGGAGGAGCAGGAGGAGGAGGAGGAGGAGGAGGAGCCTCAATCGCCCATTCACGGCCGACAGGGGCCCGAGAGCCCGCCCCGCCCAGGTGCCCGCGGATTCGCACGCGGGAGCCCTCCGCGGATCCATCGGCGACGTATCGCCGATGCTGGCTCGATGGTTCCCCCGCCTGGGAAACTGGAACGTATACATTACCAGTGGCGGAACCTTCGCCTGAGATCGTCGAGAGGATTGTACGGGCTTACCATATATATATATATATATATATATATATATAATGTTGTGCGCACCGCCCCCGTTCCTGGCCCTCTCGACAGTGAGGAGGCTCTCGGGAGGCATTACTACAATATACGGCGTGCTGCCCAGATCCTTGTAGAGCACTCTCGAGCACCCTTCTAGGTCTGTTCGGTGGGACCCGTCTGGACTCCTCAAGGTA